TTTTAACGAAACGAAGTAACAATAAAACGCGTAATATATACATAAAAAATATACATATTATATATATATATATATAAATATACATATTATCATATCACGTAAACGACCCCTGTATAAATTGTACAAAGTTACTTTAACGAGATTAGTCATTAGTTATTAATTTATACGACGTATCGATTGAACTTGTATCATGTAAGCGACAGATACGTAAGGTATCTCATGTACTTTTTATTACACACGACCTGACATGTAAAAGTGAGAAACGTGCTCGCCGAAAATGTGCGCTCCAATACCGTCGATACAAAGTGTATTGTTTTCGAACGCGTACCTGATTCCGGTTTTATCGGATATTCTCCCGTCGTTTTATCGCAATTTAATTCATTTATACGTCTAGACTGTTTATCTCCGTTAGGAGAAGATTTATAGAATTATACGACAAATCCGGATGAAATTTGGGATGCAATTGTTTTTATATTTGAAATATTGATAAATATTTACAGAATTTATTTCTAAATAGTATTTCAGCAAAACAGCATCGGTGTTTGCTGAGATAATTTTGCTTCTAGATGTCGAAATAATTGTGCATAATTTATACTCAAAATTAAATTTATCAATTTTTGGGCGAATATTAACAGAAATTTCACGCCGACAAGACCGGTGCATTATGGCGAATTATCTTAATACACTTATCGTACAATATTTACGCAATTTTCTTATCGGGGATATTAATATCACTATCAGAGATAATGAATAAAACGAAACAATATATAAAAAAACTAAAATTATTAAAACAGTAAAATTGACAGTAAGATTGCAGGTCTTAAAATTCCTGCTATTTTCAAAGTTTTGAAAAAAGATTTTTAAGCTCACGTATTCCTTTTTCCATTTATCTCTCGACTTTCTTCGCGATGGGACTTTAGATGGAGAACACAACGACGGTACATTTGCATTCGTAACGATCGACTTATTGAAAGCGTCTTTTGGATGGAAGACGAAGAATTGCATACTATTAGAACCGTGAAATTTTATTGTCGTCCTCGTCTTTCTCTCCTTTGAAGCGCACATTTTCAACAGGATGGAGTACAACGTCGCGTCCGTTCGCGGCATCTATAGATGGATCGTCGCGTTTACGGATGATTCGGGCCGGCGTTTCTCGTAGACGGATCGAAAAGTAGAGTTGCAACCCATCCGGGAGTGGGTACATCAGCGAATGAAATATTTAATACAAGAAAATTGTTGGAGGATTTTATTTTTAACGAGCTTATCCGTATCTGTACAAGTGTGAAAACACGACCAGGCGCACACATGTGTATTCTGCATTTGCTATTTACTGAGAGCACGGCGAGAGCTCTTTCATACGAATATAATTATTTGAAGAAAGATAACAAAAAAAATTACAAATTCGCTAAGGAACGTCTGAATCCGTTTACGTTGAACGACGGCCGATTCGTAACGCGCGAAGCTCCATCGATATGTATATACACAACCGAGACATTTTGTACGCATTTTTAAAGGGGGTCCCGGCCGAGATACGGGCTCCTTTCAACCGCGATAGCGCGCTACGCGGAGGCCCGTGCGATGACCCCTTTTTCTTTCCTCCCCGTAACGACGCCGTCACGGGAAGAGCGTGGGCGTGGCTTTCCTTTGTACACGCGGGTGTATGCGACTTACTTATTAATTACGACTTTCGATTAAGTGACGAGTAAACGGATCAGAGTTATTTTAAAGGCGCGCGCGTGCGCTGAGCGCGTGGCTCGTTTATTGACGCGCATGGTGAATCGCTCAAATTTGTTATACACACACAATACAATTAGCTTCACTCGATTCGAGTCCGTTTTGTTTGAATAGAAAAGCCAACCCACGCGACAGGTACCACTCATTCAGATTACTCGACGCAACAAATTGCCACTGCCGTATATGTAAATTGAGTAAATTCCGTAAAAAAAGAAAGAAAAATAGGTCACACAGAGGAATTGCGACCTCGGGGGAGGTGGGAGGAAAGAGAGAATAAGTAATTAATTAGCAGAGATATTGAATTAAATTTGTTAATTCAGAAAGTTGAACTTCAGATCGTACCTAGTGATACATGACTATATATATTATACATATATAGTTTCGTAAGAGTCTCGGTGTATAAATTTATTTGCGCGTCGAGACGCGCGCGAATAAATTCATATCCAGTAAGACAAAAAATCCATCCAAGCAGGCAAAAGGAATAAGTTAATGTGCGGGGAGAAGATATCATCTCGATATACTTTTAGGCTTAGAAAACGAAAAAGGGGGAGAGAAAAAAAAGAGCGAGCGAGTCGTCGAGAGGAGTTAGACGCGAGACTATCGCTAGAAGGAAGCATCTCATTACACGTATAAATTAGATAGGATGCGTATTTTAAGTATCTCCGTTGTCACGTACGAGCGTGTGCGTCCGGTGCGAGTTCGCGCGACGAGAGTCGCGCTCGAGCCGAGGAAGGGAAGACGCGAGGTAGGCGCTTCTAAAGGCCTGCTCCCCGCCTTGTTCTCCACCTTCGCTTGTCTAACGCCTCGTTGAAGGAACGACGGAAGTCCACCTTCGGCATTCTGACGAGGTTGCGGGACGTTGACCGCCGTATTATCATCATATCATCGTGATGCCACAGCAACTCGTAGCTGCGGCTGACAGACCCGGTGACCCCATTCCTGACTTCCGTCGTCGTTAGAGGCCCCGAGGGTGTCGGTTCGTGTTCCGTTAGAGAAGCGAATGTGCATCCTCCTCGGGAGATAACTGCGTCCGTTGAGGTGCGAATCCACTGCGAACGTTCCGCATGAGCAGGCGAGACACGAAGGCGTTTAGATCGATGATGATTCTTATCGTTTGATACCCGCGAACCGCATTTGATGCGACGAGCAGCAATGGATCCGCAGCTTCCAGATTGTGCGCGCGAGCTTGAATCGGCGGGACGCTGCCGCGTATTATTGAGGGAGAAAAGGGTTATTACATGCACATACGGGATATACATACGTCTCTTCGAAGGCTACGGAATCGTGACCCTTTCGGAAAAGCACCGTATCTCCATTCCTAAATGATCGTGATTCGGCCAACGGGCATGCTGCCAAACCATCGTATCAATGCGCGAAGGAACGAGAAAAGATAACGTATTATTTTTATAATTTGTCATCTTTGTATTATTGTTACGATGGTTGAGAGGACTTGTATAAAACACAGTAGCGTTTAACTTAAAAAAAAAAGAAAGAAAGAAAATTGCGCGACTTACACGTAAACGACATTTAACACGACATACGAGACATATGATACATCGTACACCCCCAAAACACGTGACGAGTTCATCGAGCAAGTTCAGACGAACTCGTATAAAGGTGCCAATTCATGGGACGCTGAAAAACAGCGTTGAGCGACGTCACGTGACATCACTATGATGCCAGCGTCAAGAAAGAGAAGTTAGATTTTTCCAACTTCAAGCGTCAAAGCCAAAGCAGCGCGAAGACGCCGAAATTTTGACGCTGTTTTCCTTTTCATGAATTTCAATTGACGCCGGCGTCAATTGTGGTCATGCGACCTTCTTGCCGCTGAAAATGAGCGTCGAGCGTCAGCATGAAAAGGCACCTTAAACGCGCGTATAAACGTTTCTCGATCAATCGACTAACTGACGAATCCTATTTGTTAATAGAACTGCGGCCATCGGCCGTCGTACGGAACGATTGCATTAACGTTAGAGCGAAATTTTTCGATCTGTAAATTCATATCTGGTAGCGATATCGGGACAGCCGCTTTTGCGAGAGACGCTCTCCGGACTTCAAACTTTTGGTGCCGCCAAGACCGCCGAATGCAAAGCTGAAGGCCGATAGCTGCGCCGATCGAACTGATCGAGGCATTTTTTCCGAGAGTCCAGTTTACAGGGTGTTCGTAATCTGCCGGAAAATATTTTGATGATATATTGACAAATTTGGAGTCAACTTTTTTTTCTTAATGAAGATTTCAAAGTCCCGATGAAATAATAATATAGTGTCTTGTTTTTCAATGAAACTTACTCGTGTTGAAAATATTGTAGTAGCTTCGCTCGATATTTCTCCTGAGGGAAAAGTCAATTCCGCCGTTCGTCGAAGTGTTCTTAATATTAATTTCCAGGTCTGGGGCAGCCTGTCTAACGCGGAGTAGAAAAATTAAATATATCGGAACAGCACTGATCGATCGATGTTGGTGCGAGCAAACTGGTCCTGGATCGCGCTTGAAGGATTAAGTAGACCGTTAGAGAGCTAGAGCTACGTAAAAATAATTCATATCATTAAGAACACGAGATAGCGATTTCGAATTGGAGGCAATGTGGGAGAGAGAGAGAGAGAGAGAGAGAAAGAGAGAAAAAAAGATAAGGCGATAGCCGTTATTCGTCTCTCTCTTTCTCCGGACCGCGCTTCACGGACCGCACACGTGCGATTACGAATTTCGCCGGAGGCGAACGTACGCGCGCGTGCACGTGCGGGTCCGCGGGGACGCGTATTTAGCTCAAGCTTTCCTTTTTATATTCTGTAAATACTGCGAGTAAATAAAAATGGTGAGCATTTTTATATAGTTAATTTTATAATTTATTTACTACGGAAGAGAGACACGCCGCTCGTCTCTCTTCGTCGACCGTCGTCGCGCGAGTGGGAACCGATGGAGATTTAAGAGTTAAAATAGAGAGCGTGCATACCACAGGAGACACAACGTTACACACGTATACATACACATAGACATACACGCGCACGACTGTAGATAATTTGTAACAGTTGCTATTGTCAAGTACCACGTACACACGTATAAAGCGACGTATGCTGATATATATCATTGCATATTATACTGATAACGATTAATAAAAGGTAATGTTGAAAATTGAAGGGCCTCCTGTTGCGAGAAAGTGCAAGTGCCTGTGCTTTATCTAGGATTTTATATATCCCTTGTTTCCCCGACATTTAAAACACACATTGGTTTTTTAATCTTAATATTACTTACATAACGAAATCTATATTGATTTCGATAGGCAAAATCGATCTAGTTTATTAAAGCTTAAGAATCGTACATGTTATGAATTAATGTAACAATTGCACGTACACCAGTTTTTTTGACAATTTTTAGAACTTGTAAAAATCGTATGTACCGCAGTTCAAGCATGTCTATTCGATTCCCGTAAGTTGCTTCCCTCTTTTATTTTCACGGTCGTTAAAATCGCAAGAATGTAAATTGTCTTTTTCTTATGGGATCCCATAAAATGATGGTTAACCGCATCCACCCTTTTTACAACAGCTCCGTTTCGGAGGACGATACCCACGGGTATTGTCACCCGTTAAGGGATTGTACTCTGCAAAATAAAGTGTATATATGGATATCACATCATTTAAATTTACCTTACGATTAGAGGTGCGACTTTATATAACGTGAATCTCACCTGATTTGAACGACTTCGATTTTGTACTTGTACCAGGGGTCTCGTCGTCGCTTGCAGCACCACCGAGTTTTGTACCCACGTTTTTATTTTCCAGCAATCTCAAGACCTTTAGTCTCTTTTTCTCTTTTTCCTGAGCAAAAGAGGTAGATCGTTCCGATTTATATTTCAAAAATATAAGGATAAAAAATTGTATCTTAACGTATCGAATAACGCGTAGCAAAAAGATACCTCTTCCTCTTTGACCTGAGCTAATGCGCGACTCTTGTCGTAAGCCTCTTGCATTTTCTGTCGCGCCAGTTCCACGTTGGCTGACAATTGTGGCAATTCGTCGGTCTCTGGACATACAATCGATACAACAAATCATACATATTTGTATCGTGAGTAACATTGCCAATTTATTTGTTGCCCGTCAAGTGTCGAAGGGAGCTTTCCAGCAAGCGATACAAGTCGACACAAGTATTGTTTTATCTTTGTTACTCATTACAAAAAAAAAGATAGAACGATGCTTGTGTCGACTTGTGTCACTTGCTGGAAAGCTCCCGAAGTTTGGGATTCTGAAACAAATTTTATTTACTCACTCTTGCCGAGTGCGGTATCTCGTCGACTCCTCGCGACTTTCCAACTCTTGTATTTCTCTTGGATATGTGGAAAAGTATAGAACGCGATGATGCCGAGCCCCACGAGGTACCATCCTACGGAGGCTATCGGAGCCCAAACTGAAAGGCAAAAAAAAGCGTTACAATTGTTCCGCGAGCATAAAGCTCGTTCCAGGAAACGGGAAGAAAAAGTAATCGCAATGACACATATGTAAGTATGGGAGTATTAGTAGGCACATATGCAAATTCCCACGATACGTACTCGTTTGGAGATAGCTCGGACTGTCTCGGAAGTTCTCCATGTTCCTTTATGTGTTCAAGAAATTTTCCAAGACGTCACAACATGTCACAACTCGATATGCAGTCCACGCTGCGATCATCGGCCGTTTGACGCTCCAATTTTTCGCTAAACTGGAATGTAAATTCGACACTCGACAGCCCGACTCACTCTAGGAATGTCTAGGATGCACGTTCAGAAACATCAGCCGAGTCACTCGAGTGCTGAAAATCCCACAGCATTATGTTACGTCGCTCGGTAATTGTACCTGGTTCGTGTCCGTGCTATGGTTCATGTCCGAACTTCAGATGGAGGGGATACATGTTGGCCACGCACACCAAACACCAACGCAAGCCCCTTTATATTGTCGGACAGAGGAAGAAAGAGCGAAGAAAGTATCAGGATCTCCAAAGATATTGAAAATGAAACATTCGTTGATAAAAAAATGTTTTAGATAAAAGTTATATATATATATATATATATATAGATAATTTAATACATTTTAGGTGTAAGACTGTAAGAAATAAATAGCTTTTTTTTTAATTCTATGTAATGTCAAACAAATTCTTGATCGGAGAGTATTTACATCGTTTTTTCTTACACATGTGTATAACGCTAGAGCTAATTTAATATCCATATTTTTCGTTAAGATTTGTCCTGCCGTCCCCAGATTGATCTTGCGGCGGTACCCACGTGGAATAATCTTCCGAGTGGACATCTTGATCGTACTGTTTTTTTATACCTTTCAATTTCTCTGATTTACTATCCTTTTTTCGTTTCTTGTCGTCTGAAACGTTTTGTTTCCTTGTTTCCTGATCAACGTTTTTCGTGACACACGGTTTATCGCCAGTTTTCGTACTACCATTTGATTCCGTGTCATCCTTACATGGTATAGATTTTTTGCATTCGGACTTGTGTACGTTCGTATCTCCTTCGTCTCCTTTCTCTTTTACGTCATCATTCTTTTCTTCTTGATCATCAACATCATCGTCATCATCTTCTTCTTCATTATCCACATTATTACCATATGATGAATCTCTCTCGGAATCATCTTTGTTCTGAAAAATGTATTATTTTTTTAGTCATAAGAAAAATAATAAAACGTTTTCATATAAAAAAAAAAAAAATACAAAAATAGATTGCTTACGTTTGCCTCAAAAAGCTTTCTTCTTCTTTCCAGCTGGGAAACCTTTCTCGCGGAAGGTTTTGATTTTTGCTGATCATCCTTATCCTCTGCTTGCACTTGACTAACAAGCGGCGGCAAATTGGCCGGCTTTGTAAGGTTTATTAATTTAACAAGTTTCATTTCTTCTCTGCGTAAATTCTGCAACTCCACTTTCATTTTCGTTATGTCGCTTTTACTCAAAGTAGACGTATTTAAACTGGACATAAAGGCATCCAGCGAATCCTCGTTGGACTCCCTCGCTTTAGCACTATTTTCTTGTGCTTCTTTTAAGCGATCGTTCAGACGTGAAATTTTGTTCGTAATCTCGTTGTGCTTCTCAGTCTGAAAAATAATATCAATGAATTAGTTAAAGATATATTTGTACATATCATACAAAAATGTAGACGTAAGTGAACAAAATGGCATTACCAATGAGCTATATGTCTCAACTTTTTCCTCAAATTTGCCAGCTTGTTTCATTCTCTGTTCACGTTTCTTCTCTACTGTTCCTGTTCTGTCCAAGAAGTTATCTTCGTCCGAATCGTAATAATCTTCCTCCTCCCAATTCCTCGCTTTCTTCCTTCGACTCTCTGCAATTAATAATCATCAATAATTAGGAATAAAATTTACATTCGTCAAAACTTATCCTTCATTTATATTATACGGTACCGTGATTAGCTTGTCTCAATAACCCGTGTCTATCTAAGATTCTGCAAGCTTCCAGAGCGCATTGAACAACGGATTCTTTCTTCTTCCCTTTGACAAGAGCCTCCGCTTTCATGGAACGACCGCCAAAACATTCTTTAGGTAGACTGAAATTTTTATTTTTAAATAATATGAATAAAAAGAAGAAAGAAACGACAAGTCAAAGTACGATATAAAGCATAAGGATACTTTTAAAACAGCGCTTAAAAAGATTGTCTCTCATATAACTATATTTACTTTATCCAACACAAAAATTGGCCTATTCCTTTCTCCTCTACTTGATATTGCAAATCGTATCCCTCTCTTTCGAACCAGCCTCTCAGTGTTTTCTTAGGATCGTCCAAATATAGCTCCTCATCTACCATAGAAGCGTAGGGATTCTCCGTCAAATCTGTTTCCTCGTCAGCGTCCTCTCCCATTCCCCAATCAATACCCTCCTTCTCCGCTGCCTGTCTCGCTCTCTCCTCTGCTTCTTCTTCCTCTTGCTGTCTGATCTCTCGTTCCCGCAATTCCGCCAATCGTTTTTCCTACGAACAAATATGTTTGAAAGTCTCGCCTTTTACGAGAATACAAGTCGCAACACCCGGCAAACTATTATTACATCGATTTATGTGACTAACTACATATAAATTTAATTACAAATAAAACTAACTTTGAGTTGAGTAACCGACAGTTCGGATTCCTCCTCCTGATCGTCCGGCGGAGCTTGCATAATATATTTTCTCTGGCTACAACCGAATCTTATCATATGGCCGCCGTGCAACCGAACGTAGGTCCTCGATTTTATACGATGCCCGTTCCAAAATGTGCCGTGGGTGCTCTCCAAATCGTACAAATAAAAACCCGTGGAGTTCTTCTCGTCCCCCGTCGCTCTGTACTGAATAATCGCGTGATATCTCGAGACAGTCGGATGGGTGAGGAACAAGTTGCAGGAAGGCGATCTCCCTACCACGTAGAAACTTCTCTCGGTCAGATCAATCTCCTTCAGAATCATCCCCGACTTAAGGACCTCTAACTTATACTCCCCGGTCGGTCTCCCGCCCCACTTTGGCTCCGAATAGGGTACGGGAACGTTTCTGCAGTCAGATGTGACATTTTCGGCCGCAGAACTGTCCGATGTTGACTTGTCGCTCTTATCTTCGGCGTCATTCGACGGAGATGGACGAGCAGGCTCGGCAGCCTCCTTACTCGCGGACAATTCGGACGGTGGCGGAGGTGCCGTGTCGTTGTTCACGGCGCGAATTTTTCCGGTCTTACCCCGCTTGGGGCCGATCAGTAGAAGCGGCTTCTTGAACCCAGGTTCTTGGCAAGCGTCACCCGCATCATTTCCGGAACGCTCAGACGTGCCCTCCGTTTCCGACCTGGTGCTCTGCTCGTCGCACGCTGGTGATTCGGGAATCACTTCGCCGTTACTTGCGTCAACGTTGTCGTCGGGAACATCCTCGGGAAGGGAAGCCACGGAAGCATTCTCCCGTTCGCTCGCCTCCATGGTTGCAGTCTCGATGACTTTTATGCCGGGAGGCACTCAAGTGTCATACAAATTCCTGTTTATATTCTTATGAATGATTATTAATTTGTCGTTGTCAATGAGGATTTGAGTGGCACTTTCAATGTTTACGTTCGGATATTATGATCACGTTGAACTTCGCATAACCTATTAAACAAACCAGAGAGAAGAATGAGAGACGATACGACGGTGATCCGCGAACACGATACGCCCTCTCGGAACGATGTCAAAACGTGCACATGAACTACGTAGCCAATGTCCACGTTTGGGCCACGGGATAACACATGTGCACGATTTAGGTTGCGTTCCGTGCTAATGTCGGTAATGCAAAGTTATTGATTTTTCGTTATGTGAGCGAGCGAGAAGGTATATAAGAGTGAGCGAGATGACAATAAGAGCGAGCGAGACAGTAATTGGAGTGAGCGAGATGCGAGATTAGAATAACACATGCAGAAGGCTCGGGGGTGGGGATCTGATTGGGCGCATTCAGCAGAACAAACCGCTCAGTAGCAATCGAACGTGATTGGGTGCGTTCAGCCGATACTCCGCTAGCCTAGCAATCGTGAGCAGTCGCTCGTTTTCGCTCGTTTTCGCTCGTTTTCGCTTGTTTCCTCTCCTTTGACCCAATGGATTAAAAAGAGAGGAAACAAGCGCTCGCTTCTGTCCAGCCAAATTTTTCCGTAGCAAATGGTAGCAAAGCGCTCGCTGCTTACGTGCGCTAGGCTAGCGGAGTATCGGCTGAACGCACCCATTGGCTCTTACTTTTAGACCCAACAAATCAACGTAGTGTGTTGATAAGACGACACTCAACAGTTGTGTCTATTGAAAATCGAGCATCGAGCCTTTTCCCCGCGCGTCGTTGTTCTTATGGGAGCAAATACTTTATCGAATGAAAATTCTTGTTTTGTTCCTCGTAACTTTCCACTGCAGCTCATTGCATCATCTGATCCATCCGATTTACCTACTTCAATAGTACAATCGTCAATGATGCTTATATTACACACAACCTGTAAACAATATTTACACAATTAAACAATATTTTAATCCCCATCCCCGAGCCTTCTTGCGTTTATATAAGCTAATCGTTTAATTAGATATTTGTATCAGCGATCGAGAAGTTTATACCGATAGACGATACTTTTCACTTACCTTCGAATTCCTCTTCCATTGATCGTCACGAAAATTTACCGTGTCGATTTTTAAATCTCTTTTCTCATCGATGCTTATACTTATGAATTTTTACATTATAAAAAAAGTAGCGATTTTTAGCTAAAACTTAATTAAAATCCTAATAAATCCAATAAAAGCTTTTTACAACTAAATATGTTGGAGATAATTTTAGTTTAAATTTTGCACAGTATACATATTCCTTAAAATTTAATCAATGTCAAAGCAATAAATAAATTTATAACAGAATTTAATAATCCTTCACGATTTATAGGATGTTCATCGCAAAACGGAATAATCGCAGAAACAGTCGCGAGCGTCAGTTTAATAATAGGATTTATATATCTCAGTTTATTTAATTAAAATATACAGATTATATAAACGTGATCACACATTTGTTCGAGTTCCTCCGATATTTATCCCCCCCCTCCCCGCAATTCTCTTAACCTGAGATAAATCGCTATATAATATTTCTTCTCACTAACAGTTCTTCTCTTCGTCTCTCTTACAGCATTAAACTCTTTATTCTTTATCTCTTAAAAAATACTCGGTTTCATCATATCTGTACGATGTAACAAATGATAAATCTACAGGCGCGTCGGGTAGATTCGACCTTTTCGTTTTAAAATCCCCTCCCCCCCCCCCCCGCAATTTGTTTCAACGCCTTGTTCCTTTCCTGTATAATCGCTTAAAGTTCATCTATACAATATCTCTGTTTATATATAATATATATGTCTATTAACACTGTATATTTACATGCAGCATGAGACCTATGGACATGCACCAAAAAGGGATAAATACTCTTAAAATAAAAATCTTCGCCGTTAGCTAACACGCACATGTCTCTCCCCGCGGTAACTCGGTTCTGCCCCCCCCCCCCTCGCAACATGCTTTTACTTTTGAAATTTTACCTCGAAACTTTCATCAGGAATATAAATCCTTTATTTACACGCACACACATACACACGTGTTCGCGAGTGGTAACTATTGTAGGCACGCGTCATCCTTTTCCTCCCTTTCGCTCTCTCGTCTTTGATAAACAGCCGTCTCGTAGCGCGTACACTGCTTCGCAGTGACAATTTTTCTCCAAGCAGCTTCCCGAACGATATATAGCATATATTATCTGCGCGATCTTATTTACATAGAAAATCGAATCACCTTTTATAAGCTAATTTAATAAATAGTCGACGTAATATCGATAAATATATACTTATGGTTTACATTTTACACTTCTTAGTAATATACTTCATCAGCGTTTTCATCATTTTCGCTCGCTTGTTTTTTCTTTTCTTTAGAAATGTATAAACCCTAAAGTGACTACATTCCGTAAGATACACGTATTCTTTCTCGTTACCGAAATTGCTCTAAAATATTCTTCCTCATAGATGCAGAGTTGATCACGCGAACAAGAGAGGAAATAAATGTACATTCGTAATATAAGTCAAAACTCATCGTATCTCTATTCGTCAGGCAAATATAAAACAAACGCGTTATGCGTAATTTCCGTAACGAGAAAGATGGATATTCCTGAATCCGTCTTCTTTTCCTCTGCACGAGATGCAAAATGGATAGCTCCATGTGAAAGACTGATATAGAAGATTATATACGCTGTATTTTATATTCTGACATTAATATACGTATGTATTTTAATGTCAGATATATACATATATCAGATATAAATCTTTCTTACCCCGATGACTTAAAATTATTATTATTAGATCACTAGTATGATAGTGCACGTTTGTATTTGGAACACAATTGTTGTACAATTGTTCGCACCGACGGAAATTTGAATTTCCTCGATTATTTCTTTCCTAAGCTGTGTGCCTCGCGAATATATTCCCTCTAGTTATAATCTAAACTTTTATAACGCACAGTAAACAGTCGTTTGGTGCTTCGTACCGAGTGGTCGTTATTCGAGACCATGAGCCTGGAATCTTTTCCAGAGGTAGATTTAAATCCTTTTCCTTTTTTTTTCATATATTATTTATCTACGCAACGGTTTTATTATATATATCTATGAATCGATGTACTTCGCAGATAAAGGCTGCCAATTATTCTCATATATTAATTCTTATTGTAATTCTATTTACACGCAATTACAATTGTTCCAACAACCACTCCGTACTCAGCCAAGGCAGATCAGTGTGATTGCATATCCTACGTACTAGAAAATAGTTGAATGCCTTAATCGTAGATTTATTCTCTAAATACGGTGTGCTTTTTTTGACTTGCGAGTTCTTTCCGAGCCGTCATCGAAGACTTTTACGATCAAGCGGAATCAACGAGGAGGGGAGAAGGGGGAGAAATTATTTTCCAGGAATACACGCGCACAGCTACGGGCCCCGCGAATTCGTATTCCATATTCAGCGTTTGATCGCCTCACTCGGTCTAAGGTAAAGATTGCAAACAATAGTTATCACTGAGAATGTGCAAGTGTGAGATATGCATACGGACCCCATGCCTTTAATATGCAACCGTACCTTCTTATTGTCAGGCTACTTTACGCCCATATTATACTTTCATGTTTTTTTGTCCTACGTGACATTTGCTAATCTACGCGAATATTGGAAAGCATACAAAAGATCGCGAATATTTTCTTTGTATTTTTTATATATTATAAATTTTTCATGGTAATAATTTACTATATCGTCCTTCAACCATTTTTATTGTATGCCAATTCGACTCGACTTAAATATAAAAGAACACTTTGCCTTTGTAAGAGAGAACGATATAATCTTCCTTTATAAAGCGAAAGCACAGTCTTGTATAAATTATACAGGGAATTTCAAATATAACGATACTCTTTCAAGGATGACTAGTTTAATTTCTTTTAGTCCATTCCAAATAATATCGCAGTACATCCTTTATGAGGAATTAATGTGACCATGTTTAATAAATAGAATGGGAGAGCGTAGCAATTTATTTCCATGCAAGCAATATTATAAAATGAAATAGATATATGCACTTCATGTATGAACATAAGAGGCCCGTGTAGATAATTCCAATAACAAAATACAAATGGTATATGCGATAAATCAATAGTAATTGATGTGATCATGTTTAATAAATAGAATGGGAGAGCGTAGCAATTTATTTCCATGCAAGCAATATTATAAAATCAAATAGATATATGCACTTCATGTATGAACATAAAAGGTCCGTGGAAATAATTCCAATAACAATATACAAATGGTATGTGCGATAAATCAATAGTAATTGTCACAAGCAGATATAAGTATATGTGTAGGTAGTTTGCGATACCAAATTTCAAATCTATCCAATTTCAATCCTACCTTGCTTAATCGATTTATATCTGATTTTATTCTACTTTCCAAAATAAAAAAAAAAAACAACTTATAATGCTCAGAGCCCCATTCGTAGTAAACATCTCGAATAAAAGAAAATATATGGTCTCAAAGATGAAAGATGGAAAAGTTTTTTTTAAAAGAGAGAGACATAAAATGCACGTAACAATCGCTGTTATATCGTAACTAGATAATTCGCAGACAGTAAAATTAAGGGTAAGAATGTCATACCCTAGAAAAAAACTCGCGAATTCGCAAAACTACAGTCCTTAACTACCACCTTACTTTCCAAGACGTTTGATTCGAGATCGCGTGCTCAGGGATCGAGCACTAGGATTGTACGGTGATTTGCCTTTCTTAGCTATGCCAGAAGTGGAACCTGCTGTCGAGGGATTTATGGTCGCGCAAGTACTCACGCTTCCACCGTTACCGTTCGCTTGTTTAAGTTTACTGGCTGACAATGAGGAAGACCTGACTCTACTCGATTGCAGCGATCCACCGTTCGCGGACTGCTTCAACTTGTTCGGTAGAGGTAATCGATTTTGTTTCACTACGCCATACTGATGTACTAATTGCGCAGATATTGTATGTCCGGCGATGTCTACGTTGCGCGAACGTAGTGTTTTCACAGGTGTTGCCGCCATTGTGTCTGACCTAAACAAAATTATGAAATAGCAAAGTTTAGTAAAAGTTCATGGAACATGTTTAGACGTTAATAAAATGCAATCTATATTATTTTAACGATCCATTTAATTTGTTAATCTTCAATATAAGTGATAATATTTATATCGTTTCGTACGACTTTATTCCAATATATCACGCGAAAATTATTTCCTGAAAAAGGTAATATAACTAAACCAACCTTAACCATCGTTGCGGTAATGACGTATCCGTAGGACCGATTATCGTTACCGGCCTATTTATAGTTCTTCTACTGTTACAATTAGTCGTTCGATTATTCCTTCCTTGGTCCCAATCCCTTAGGCCAAAACTACCTCTTAGATGTTGCAAACGAGGCGAACCGTTGATGGACGATCTCCTAATGGCTTTAACAGGCGTAGCCTTTTTGCCTAAGCTTCTACGTTGGAACGTGTTCGATGATGAAGAGAGCGTCGTTAAACTGGCGCCGTTCAACGACGAGTCTGGTCGTCTATCCGACGTGGGCCAACTTAATCGGGCATTAGCATTCTCCATCGCTTGATTGGCCGGGTCGTTCTCATCGGTGGGACTGTGCCTTTGGTCCTCGGAACGCGTCCTCCTCTTCGCGCACGGTTCTTGCTGCGCGCAGCTATTCTCGATTCCAGATGAAACCGATGCTTGCGTGATCGCGCTGTGCTTACGTTTATTATTTATGCCGCGGTCGCTAGTCTTTAACGCACTTTTCGTCGTCTCCTCCACCGTCGTGCTTCCCACGACAGACGATTTCTTTACCCTGCTGTACCGCGATTTCACGCTGGCATAAGTCTTCGAATCCGGACTCGGCGTAACGTCAGCGAAAGCATTCTGAGTTTGAGAAGAGCTCAGACTATGTCGTCGCTTTATCGTTCTGACGTCCACCCTCGCGGGAAATAAAGGGTGCTGCTTATGTCTAGATCCGTTCAAAACGCCATTCTTCACCTCGCCGTTGTCGAAACTGCTGCTCTTAACAGGAACAATGCCGCCACTCCGACGTAACCTACTTACGAAAGGAGCGGGTTGAAGCGCCTCCTCGTTCGCACCGGGAAACGTACTCTGCCGCGTCACGTTAGATACCCCTGACTCGGGTATGACTTCTTCAGGCTCGGCGAACTTGATTGTCGATTTCGGATTTGATTGGATCAGAGTCTGTGCATCGTCGATTTTCGCTTTCTCGTTTTCATTCTCTTCAGCTACTTGCTTTATCTCGTTATCAGGATGTTCCGATTTCTCGTGATTGGTTTCATTCGCTTTCTTACTTTCCGCATCTCCGGATTCTTCTGCCATTTGACTGGAGGAGATTTCGGCGACCTGGATACTCTCATCAGCATCAACGGTCCCGATACTCTTGTCTATCGCGGTATTCTCTTGTAATTCCGATAAAGTGTCAATATCGGACAAAGCTGATTTTTCAGGACACGAAACTGTCTCCGGCTGTAACGTCTGATCGACAGCCTCCTCATTTCCGTTCGACGAATCCGGTTGTTTGGGATCAATGTCGAGATCCGTGGAAACGCTTGGCGGCGGTATTGGCATACACGGCGATATAATTTTTTGATTGACTGCCTCGATGTTTTCAAGCTCTTTCGTCGTAGTTGGCGTGTGTGTTCCGTGATGTATAACACGATCCTTCTTTTGATTAAACAGTACCTTAAACAAAGCCAAGTGTGATCCCTAACGCATTAATAGTTTTAATAGTTCTTAGTAATGACAGTTTTAAAATTATCAATATTTTCAGCAAATTTTTAATTTGTTACTCCAATTTTTAAGGCTTGAATTTCCCGTTTTAATTTCGTCAATATTTATATACAAATTATTTATGTACGTATATTAGACTAAATTTGTTTTTACAAAACAAATATTTACCTCTTTGCGACATGGTCCCGACGGATCCAACATTAATGTTACAACACTGGTATTATCTGCTCGTAATCTTGTCGATGACCACCTCTCCAATGCACGATCCACGAGACTTTTCGAAGGATTTATCCACATTTGTGTATCAGCCTGTTATCAAAAAAATTTGTATCTCACTGTTACATTTAAATTATCAACATATATACACCAGACAACTTGTATATACTTTCACTTTAATATAATAGTATGTACAATTAATAACATAAAATCAACAAAACTTACCCCATTACCGGTCTGCTGAGAAGCTATCAAATGTTTCTCATTGTGTCTGTCTGTGGCTTGAACAATAGCTACCGCAGCTTGCGGTGACAACATATTCCATAGGCCATCAGTGCCGAAAATAAGACAACGGTTCGATTTAACGTCAACTGGAATAACCTTCACGTCCGGCTCGGGAGAGACGACAAAAGTGTTCAATTCGGAATTGTAACTCCATAAATCACCTGAAATCAATTTTTGTTCAGATTCTTTCTCACAAAACGCAAAACTATCGGATACGAAGGGATACTCGCAAGTGTATAATTCTCACCTAGGGATCTCGCTACTGCAAGGAACGGAATTTCATCCATGTGAGTTGATCTTCGAACAGGACCTTTGTGCCCGATGCGAGGTCTGTTCCACACGACCCTCGGGACACCAGATTTACTGACCACTTTTCCACCCGATTCCTGTATGCGCGTCATCTCCGGCCCGCTCTCCGGCTTGTGATCCTTCGTCAGCGATTTCGCTCTCCATTGGGGATCACCCTCCGCCTGATAGCCCAATATAATAGCGGAATCTCCCACGTGACCTATGTATATCTTGCCCTTCCGGATGAAGGCGATGCTGGCAGTCGTGCCGGCCGTGGACGGCAGTCCGGACGCGGTTCTCGGCCATTTATCTGCTCAGAAAACAATGCCAGTTCAAGGTATACGTTTCGCAATACAAAGCCGAGTTCTTCGCGATCAAGGTCGACGTGCCCGTTACGCTTTACGCGCGCGCGCGAGCGACGGTACCGCCGTGGGAATCGCCGCGATCCGGATTCGCGAGGTGACGCGAGAAGCCATCGTTTTTTTTTCCCTCATCGATCCTCGACCTCAAATTTTCAGGTTAGCTCGAAGAATTACATAACCTAAATTCTAACCTAATCAGGCCTATAGTCGCGGCGGCGATGGCGACGGTGGTGGGGGAAATACGCGGGACGATGACAGAAATTGTCGGCCGTCGCCGCGGGGAAACCGTAAGCGGGGACAAAATCTTAAATTTAAAATTCGCGCGAAAGCTAAAAGGATGGTCGCGCGAGCGAGTCGCAGTCGACGCGACGATCGTCATCCGTACCGAGCTCCCGCCACATCGCGATGTGCGTGTTCATGTATCCGTCCCTGATCGCCCGCAGCACGTCCTCGTCGCGCTCGCTCCAGAAGTTCCTCTGCTTCACGATGAGGTCCATGAGGTTCTCCTTGGCGAAGGTCGCGGCCTCCGCGCCGCCGTGGCCGTCGAAGATCCCGAAGAAGGCGTACTCCAGGTCCTTGTCGTCCGATGTCGGCTGGAACGCCACGCAGAACATGTCCTCCATGTATTTGCGACCGCCCTGGTTACAGTGGCCGGTCACCCGCAGATTAACGCCGATACTGAGCGGCATGTCGATGCCGGCGTGAACGACGATTCGTTCAGTAACGACGACGACCGACGACGACGACGACGTCGCCGAGGTGCGAAAAACCGTCTGTATACGGTGCGCTTATTACGCACTCTATCACCGCTACGCACACTCGTCGAACGGAAGCCTCGCATTTACTGGGCAGGTCCGTGCACGTCGCGCGCAAGAGAGAGAGACAGCGTGGTGGAGAGTGGTGGTGGAAGGTGGAGGGGGGGACGGTGACGTTGCGCGGTCGGCGACGGAGGGCGACGCGGTGGGGATCGGCGGACGAATGGCAGCGAACGGCTGAAGCGCGAGAGGGGAGTCCCGTTTCCCCCCCTCCTCCACCCGCTCTGCCCTCGACCTCACGCATACATGCACGTGCGCTCTCTCTTTCTCTCTCTCTCTCGTTCGCTCTTTCTTCCGCGGCCCGCGCGCTCGCGCCTCTTCTTCCTCGCGCCGCGTCCACGATTTCACCGACACGAGCGCGGCCGACGTTCGCCGACGATTCTCGAGAAACGGCCGGAGCGGAAGATTTTGGAATGCACACACGCGTTCCCGCTGCGCCGTGCGTGTTTTCGAATATGCCGCCCGCGATCGATCGCCCGCGGGCCGCGCCGATCGAACTGAACTTCGACCGCGCGCGCGTTCCGTCAACGATTTCCCCGCGTCACCGAAGCCGCGACGCGCGGGAGAGGCGGCGGGGCAGATACGCGACGAGGGCTGGAACTGTGCGCGTGTACATACGTGTGTGCGCCTCGCTCCGCCGTCGTCGTCGCTCGGAGAAGCCTTGAAAGTCGGCCGTCCCGATACGACGGCGAGCGGAGTCGCGCGATGCGAACCTCAACGCCTTTAAGCCCCGTGTCTCGCGATATAATATTTGTATTTTCGACTTCGCGCTTTCCCCATTACGTCCAATTACTCGGCCGCCACGTGCTACCGCCCCCACGGGCGGGCCTTCTAATTGGTCGCGGTGAGACTGCAAATTAGAAATGCGCTTTAGCGCCCGAAGATAGACAAGTAGAGATAAGAGCGCGTTTCTGGACTTCGCGAAGTTCGCGGCCGGTTTGATTTCGTTTACAAACGGCGCGGGTAGAGGGATATTGTTGCGAGTCCCGAATTTTATTTCGGATAGCGCTCGAGTTGTTTGTACGCGCGACGAACGAGACGCGTTTCGAGAAAGAAGGACAGCGAGATGCTTATCGTACGTTCCCAACGTTCTCTTTGTCCTTGTAAAATAGATAACGACGAAATTTTGAAAAGAAAATAACAAACGAGAAGGCACAGTCTCGCGACTTCATCGCGGGAATTTGCTTCGGACAATCGATCTATGTATCTTCATAAATCGTCACTAATTTTTGAAGAAGAGAAAGAAAGAAAAAAAATTAGATACGCGCGGTCGCATATCGCTCCGAATTGATTTACCCGCGATAATTATTTATCTACCGATTAAGCACGGCTTCCGATCTTTATTTCGAATCACCGTCGAGGCGCGTCGCCCCTCGAGAGAACACTCTCACCTATCGATAAGTTCGCTTGTCGCAATTCATTTCTCTTTCTTTTTTTTCCCCCCAATTCGAATTACTTCAGTTTTCGCGCGGCAAGAAGAGAATCGACTTTCGAACGAGATTCTGCGTATCACGTTTTTTCGATTAGCCCGGCGCGAAACTGAAGACCCGTTCCTTTTGTTTACATTTTTTTACTTTTCTTTTTTCCCTTCTATTTGTATAAAAACGTGTCTTTTCGCGGAGACAGCGTGAAGTGCGCGCGGCTGCGGTCGAGCCGACTCTTCGAGTCGGTCGGGGCGCGAATCACGTTTAAGGTTAAGGATTTAATGCACGCTCGTGTTAACCACGCGCGAAATGTAAGACAGACTATAGGGAGACGGACGTTTTGTGAAATTTCCAAAAAGCGACCCACGGCTCGTACTCCAAGTAACACGCTACCTTGGTCGTATCGCACGCGCGCGCGCGCGCGCGGCTGCGACCAGCCGGCGGCGCGTTCCCCTTTCCCCGCTCACCCCCAAGCCTAGCCGCTCCTCCGGCCGCATCCCCACCGCGGCGGAAACTTTTCCGCGCCCCCTTTGCCCCGCGCGGTTTCCCCGCCGCCTCGCTCCCCGTCCCGCGGCGAGCGCCCGATATCCCGCCATACTCCTCGTCAACGCGCTGGCCCGTCAAACTCCGGAGCTATATTCATGCCGCGCATCTCCGCTCACGCAGTCGCGCCACGTTGCCGCACTTCCTTTCTCCTCGATCTCTCCGTCTCCCTTCCTCACCGCGTCTCTCTCTCTCTCTCTCTCTCTCTCTCTCTTTCTCTCTCTCTTTATCGCTCGCGCTCTCTCGCCGCCGCCGCGCCGCGAGCAAGCAACCTGATTTCTTGTCCAGCTCGGCCGGACGACACGTTGTCGTCGCGCGAAAGATGACGCACTTGGAAAAATTGTCCAGAGCGCTCATCTCCCCGAGCGAATTTGAAATTCGTTCGGGAATCGTATTACGCCTACGTTCACGTTGTCATGCCCGTCAATCTTTCCCAGAGACGTTTCCAGCGCGATTTAAAATTCGTGTCTCGGGTTTCTCGATACATATCCGCTTTCGGATATTTCACACGGGTACCCCTCATCCATCCCTCCCCTTTCTCAACGATCCCTCGCGGTTGTCCAACGCAGGGAAGTTGAAATCTTGAATCTTATTGTTAGCAGCGAAAACGGCGACCCCGTTGGCACGGCCTAAAAAAGGCCTAAAAACGGCGAGAGAGCTCGAGCCGAGAGCGATCCGGCGAAAAGTGCTGAACGTGCCGTCGCCGTCGTTTTGCCGTGGCGCGCGCGCTCGGCGCGGTTATCTCTCCACGCCGAGCAAGCAAAACACACGGTGGGGCACGTGTTTGAACTTGTTCGATCGCCACGACGACGAGCGGCGGACACGGCGGACGGCGACGTGGCAACGTCGCATCGCGCCGTTCAAAATAGCTCTCACCAGCTGTGTGTGCGGCGACTTTCGCCCGACCCGACGGATTAAAGTCCGCGCGGGAACGCGCGCGACTCTCCCGGGGGAAGGCGCGCGTCGCCGATCCGCCGGGCTTCGGACTTCGATCCTCGACGCGGGGCAGCGCGAACAAATCGGCCCCCGGGAAGCCCGGTTCCGCACCGTTCGGAAATCGAACGGTGGACAACCGTCGAGATGCGTCATCGATTGCATCATTCCCTCGGAAAACATGGCCGCCGACCGTAATGCAAGCACTACGTAAATCAAGCTTGCGAATCGCGGCGGCGATCAGGCGTCAGATTCACGACAAAATAGAAAATAGCTGGAGAAAGCAGGACGGGAACGACTCCTCGGTCAAAAGGAAACGTTTCGGAGGTTTCTTCCGGGAGGAATTTAAGATTGTTCCCAATCGCAAATCGATAATTCGCAGGTCTGCCCGTCCGGCTTCCCGTCGCGGGCGTATCGAACGGCACTGCCGGCGCCATCTGTGTTTTATTGGCTACAATAAAAGGACAGGCCGCGCTAATGTGTTATTTATTTTCCACAAGCGTGTATACACATGTTATATCATAAATTCCTAAATTCTGTCAGCATCGCGGCATCGCTCGCGCCTTTTTTACAGTCGTATTTTAACGTTATTCAAGACGGTTCTTGTTGGTAAACGATAAATAAACGCAAATCTGTCCCGTATTAGGTTTGTCCGTTTTGCAAATTGCAAACGGACCGTTTCCGGCTATTTAAGTAGCTCGATCTCTCATTGGTCGAGCCGTTTCGAAGGGCTCGCGTAAGGACGCGCGAATATGGACGTCGTCGCTCAAAAGGAAAAAGACTCGCGGGATCGCGGATGCAATCCGTTATGTAATTCCGCTGAATTCAAACTCTATCGAACGAACGGAAATACCTCCGTCTATTCGTGGCGAACGAAAACGGGACACTCGGCCGCGATAGTCGTACTTTATTTCCGCGTTATCGATAATTCACCGAGCTAGAGATCGCCGATATCAGTTCCGATTTCCGGTCGTCTTTTTCTCGATAGAATATAACGGATGCGATAAAAACGCTCGTGTAACCTTACGTGCGGGAATATCGGTCGGCTAGCGAAAATTCTTCAACGCGCCGCGGATTATTCACTACTTATTCGTTTTCCGCGTGACGTTGCCACGCGCGTCGCGAAGGAGAAGCGCGCGGCCTTCGCGGGGTTTTGTTAGCGTCTTTTTATCGATTGCCCGCGTCAGGTCGGCGCGATTACGCGGACGCATTGCACACGTGGCATCCGGTACCGCGGGCATTTCCCAGCTATTAGACGAGACCGTGCAGGCGGTGCAGGTTCGTGCTTGTTGAGTCTCGTTGATACCTCGCCCGGGCCTGTATGTACACACGTGAGTCACGGGACTGGTGACGAACTTATATTGGTAGGATTGCTCATTCTCTTGAAATCTCGAGAGAAACGACGGTCGCTCTTTCAATTGGGCGATTGTGTAGAATAAAGACGACCGTGCCGCCCTTCTACGTGCAGCAAACAATGAACTGTGACTAATGATTTCTTAAACAGAAATGCGAGGCTTTTAAAGAAAGGCACGAATTGAGATACCTAATAGTCCTATAATAATACATATAAGTATGTTTTTTTTTTCAGATTTTTTAGTTTTTCGAAATTATTGCATCATTTTATCAAAGTCATCATTTCGTTATCAGTTTGACGTCGTTTTACGTTTCGCGCGGTTATCTTATTTCTTTATATTTTATTTTTACATTTTGTACATACTGTAGATAAGATTTCTTGTCTTTTCGATTTTCTAAAATAATATGCCTTTCATTTAAAAGCATTCTGGGAATGTCTCGAGAGTGCCTTTCGTGACGACAAATAACAATTTTATAGTGGCATAACTTTTAACCATATACTCTTAAAACAATAAACAAACGAAACAGTAAAAAAACAAATTTATTAACAATAAAAAAATTATGTCTAAAAATAGCTATAAAAAATATTATGTGCCAAGTTAATTTAATTACACTATTATTATTAAGGATAAAAATCAAATCATAACTAAATTATTGTACTTTTTAAATAAAAATATATTGCGATGTTGATATTAAAATTTTTGGAGGGAGGTCCCTCAAGAAGCAGAGTGGCGCAGTGGAAGCGTGCTGGGCCCATAACCCAGAGGTCCGTGGATCGAAACCACGTTCTGCTAGTGAAGGGTTCTCTTTTACTCTCGACATACAAAAAGTTTATTTATATAAGAAAAGTACTTTTGTTTTGAATTATTTACTGGCGACGGAAGTTACTGTTTTGTATTTATTTATATATTTTTGTAAATTTCTTTATACTTATGCGTAACTTTTAATTATACAATTTAGTATACAATTTTATATACATTTTTTTCTTTAGATATTTTATATATATTCTTTTATATTTCTAAAAATTATATTCGGTATTTCTTTCTATTCTATTTAATAGTTTTTTTTATCAAAATTTTATAAATATTTAATTTTAATATATCGCGAAAAAAATTAAAAAAAAAAAAAAATTTCGCCCAACGTGGGGCTCGAACCCACGACCCTGAGATTAAGAGTCTCATGCTCTACCGACTGAGCTAGCCGGGCTACTTGGAAGACCTTATATTTAACATGAGTATTAAGGTACAGTTAAACAATAACGATCAATACTTTCGTAGCCTTCAACACGGCAATATTAAAACAAATCCAAAGGCATAAATAATTATAAATATAAAAAGGGAGTTGAAATAAAGAAAAAGTGACGAAAGTGAACGGATAATTGTTGCACAAAATAAATCTTTATTAAGACTGATTGTATCTTAGTAACAAATAGCTCGTTACAATCCTGACGGTAAATATATTATGTACAATCGTTCCTTTTATATTAAAATGAACACAAGAAGTACTTTAACGTCGCACTAGTACGGATCTTTATGGCACGTGAATGTATTTACTGTCGTTAACGTATATGCTTACAACGCAATGTACAATGTAACCGGGATGATCGTTTATTGATGGTCCCTATCGGCAGTATGGTTGACCAACCAAAACATCCAATTAACTTAATTATTAATTTATATAAATATAATTATTAATTTTTTATTTTATTTAACATGTAGAAAAAGAGACAGATTAAGGAGATCGAATTATACAATTAGATTTGGACGAGGTTGCCTCTTCTGC